GAATAATCTGATAATTTCTCATTGGTATTCTGCCCACTAGTAATACTAAGTCAATATGTTATATATATTCTACTCAGTTTCACTTGTATTTTTCCATGTGTGTGCTTTAATTTTTTTAAAAAAATTAAAACATGTACACAATGTCAAGCTTTTTTCTTCTTTCTTTTTAAAATATCAACTCGATGATTTGGGGGATTGGTCACTACAATGCTGAGAACTTGGTTGGGCTCCCAGAGGAAAAACTAATGATAATCTGGGGTCCCTCTAAGTCTAGGCTCCCCAGAATTTCTAAACTCTGAATCTTATTCACACTGAGCATCTAGCAATTTGTCAATTACAGCTTAAATATAAAATTTCAATTTTAAATTTCAAGTTTAAATTTTCCTACTGTGGTACTGCTGGTTTCTGCTCCCTAGGCTCTGATCCATTAACCTATGATTGTTTGTATTTACCCGGACTGTGTGTCTCTATTTTGGGGGTAAGAGTTTGCCCTGTTATCTTACTTTTCTGATCAATCTAAGAAGAGTTGTTAACTTTCTGTTTGTTCAGCTTTTTTCTGTTGCAAAGATAGGAGTGATGACTTCCAAGCTCCATTCACACTGGACTAGAAACCAGACATATTTACAAATACTTTTATAGCAGTTAAGAGGAGAAAGGAGAAGAAATATGCATTTATGGCATCTTTCATAATCACATAATGAACTTTGCAATTTGTGTTTCCACGTAGTCTAATTACTACCTAGGGTCATTTGCTTTCAATCTAAGGACTTTCTTAAAAATTAAAGTCTGCTAGCAGTAAATTCTCTCAGTTGTTGTATTTTTTAAATCTGAAGATAACTGTTTTTCCTTTCATTTTTTAAAAAATGAACCATCTGCTTCATATAAAATTCTTGGCTGACACCTTTTTTTGGAGAAAACATTCACAAATCATATATTTGATAAGATTAATACACAGAATACATAAATAACTCCCATAATTAAACAGTAAAAAATTAAACAGCCCAGTTAAAAACTGGCAAAGAACCTGAATACACATTTTTCCAAAGAAGATATGCAAATGAACAACCATAACATGAAAATATACTTAGCATCGCTAATTATTAGGGAAATTAAGATCAAAATCACAGTAAGATTCTACTTTACACATATTAGGATGAATAGTATAACAAAAAATAACAGAAGATAACAAATACAGATGAAGTTGTGGAGATACTGAAAATCTTGGGCACAGCTTCTAGGAATGCAAAATGGTGTAATCCCTATGAAAAACAGCATGGTAGTTCCTACAAATATTAAGAAATAGAGCTACCATATGATCCAGCAACTCTGCCTCTGGGAACACACCCAAAAGAATTGAAAGCAGAATCTCAGAGATATTTACACACCTTCATTTGTAGCAGCAGTTATTCACAATAACCAAGAGGTGGACACACCTCAAGTGGATTAACAGTTTTCTGAGTTTTTTCTTTTCTTTTTAGCACTTTGAATATATCATCCTACTGCCTTTTGGTCTCCATTTTCTCTAATTACAAGTCAGCTGTTAATCTTTTTGGAGTTCCAATTTATTGGATGAACTATTTTTCTCATGCTGCTTGCAGGATTTTCTCTTTGTCTTTGTCTTTCAGTATTTTTACTATGAGGTATTTTTACTATGATGTATTTGCATGTGGATTCCTTTGCATTTATCCTATTTGGAGCTCACTGGAATTTTTGGATACATAGATTAATGTTTTTCATGAAATTTTGGAAATTTTATAGCTATTATTTCCTCAAATACATTTCTGCTCTTTTCTCGCCATTGTATTCTATAGTATTCTGATGACATATATGCTGGTGTGTTTAGTGATGTCCCACATTTCTCCGAGATAGTTTATTCTTTTTTTCTGTCTGTGTCCTCTACATTGCATAATCTCTATCAAGCTATCTTCAAGCTCACTGATTCTTTCCTTTTCTACTTTACATCTACTGTTGATCCCCTGTAGTGATTTTTAAAATTTCAGTTATTGCAATTTTGAATTCAATTTCCACTTTTTTTTTTTTTTTATAATTTCTATCTCATTATTGATATCCTCTATCTGTTGAGACATTGTCTCATACATTCCTTTACTTTCTTCACCATGATTTTCTTTAGTTCTTTGGACATATTTATAATTAAGTTGCTTTACAGTCCTGGCTGTTTGACATCTGGGCTGTCTCACAGGCAGTTTCAGTTGCCTGCTTTCTTTCCTCTGTTGGGTCACACTTTCTTGCTTCTTTGCATGTCTTATCATTTTTTGTTGAAAACTGTACATTTTAGATAATATATTATGGCAATTATGGCTAATGATCTGCCTTTCTCTTCCAATTCTTTTTGTTTGTACTTTCATTTGTTTACTGACTTGACAGGACTGACTAATTTAGTGAAACATATTTCTCCACAGTGTAAAGCCTCTGATGTCACTTACCTGAGGGCATGGACTTGGGTGTGCACACAGTCACAATACAATGACATTGGCTTTAGCAGGGCTCTCTTTGACTATCTTTTTCTCTGTTCTATATTTAAAACCGTCTGCCTCTGTTGGTATTACACACAGTCTCTGCTGACTTCCAGCTGACTGCTCTATTGTTTTCAACAATGCCTTGGGGCATACATTGCCACACAATTTGATCCAATTAAATTTGGGCTGCTTCTCAGGAATAGTCTTTGAGGCCAGACTTTGAGATTTGTCCTGATCCCAGGAAGGCTCTTCCTGGCTAACTCTTGTGCTGACTGACTTGGTAAACTTCTAGTTAGCCTATGGTTTAGCTTCTTGTTCTCATAGAACTGCCAGCCTTCTCTTAATTGCTTGCCACCAAAATCTCTATTGTTTCAGGCATTCATCTGTGGTGTTTGTGGCTAACCTCTCCCACTGTGGAACCTCTATCTCATGAGCAAGCTGGGATGAGGGCAATTATGGCATGGGGCAGGTATTGTTTTTGCATTACAAGTGAGGGCTGGATGGAGGAGGATATCCCTAGACTTCTTAGCCAGTCTTGCCTAGAATAGAGCTTCTGCAACATGAAATTTGGGGGGCTAGGTATGAGAAATGCTGGCAGTTTTTCCCTCTCAGGGAGATACTGTAGCCTTCATTTGGGATCTAGGGAAAGTGTTCTTGGATATAACTGTCTAGAATGAGGTTTCTGTCACACTGATCTGAGGACTAGGAGAAGGAGTGGGTTATGGTTCAAATGCCACAGATTCTTACTGTGTTTACTAGGGTTTAGTAGATTCTTCTTAAATAAAATTTATTTATTTACTGTCTGCCTTTATAACAATTTTCAGGGACTTAAATTATTTTAGTCTTACAAATAATTTTTAACAATCACAGTTTTTTACTAGGATGAGGTTTTATGGGGTTTCTCATGCTGCCATTATGGAAGTCATTCCCCTGCATCATTTTTTTAATGCAAAAAATAAAAATAAAAGGGGGCTGGGTGCAGTGGCTCATGCCTGTAATCCCAGCACTTTGGGAGGCCGAGGTGGGAAGATGACCTATGGTCAGGAGATAGAGACCAGCCTGACCAACATGGCAAAACCCCGTCTCTACCAAAAATACAAAAATTAGCCGAACGTGGTGACACGTGCCTGTAGTCCCAACTACATGGGAGGCTGAAGCAGAAGAATCGCTGGAACCCGGAGGCAGAGGTTGCAGTGAGCTGAGATGGTGACACTGAACTCCAGCCTGGGTGACAGAGCAAGACTCCATCTCAAAAATAAATAAAGAAATAAAATATTGTAAGCAGAATATGTGACTCTATGTTGAGTACATGAGTGTATACTATACTATTTCCGAGCTATGTTTCATGTTTTGAGTCTCACCATTTGTGAGACCCAAGCAGGCACTCACCAGATGGTATGAAAGGCCAGAACCCGGCGGTCCCACAGTCTTGGGGCTTCGGAGAGGAGCCTTTCAAAGCAAACCAGCAAGGATCAGGACTAAGACATTCCTTCAACAAATGTTCATTAAGCACTTATTATGAATGCTGCTCAGTGCTAGCAGCTTTAATGTAGTGCCTTTTAATCTTCCAAACACTTTCAAATACAAGACCTCGTTTAGATGTGTTTCAGAGGGTGGATTTATTTGTTCACCACATACTTAGTACTTAACCTTCTGTTTCCTCAACTGCAAGATGAGACTACCGAGAGCTTCTCTTGCATAATTTTGTCAAAATGAAATAATAATCTTTATAAAGAGGCAGATGTGCTGTCTGGCATTTAGTAAGAGCCCAAGAAATGTTGTTTCTTGGTACTGCTGTTGTCATCACTATTTACCAGGCATGGTTTCAATCATGGGAGAGACGGTGATTGAAACGAACAGAGGCTCAAATGTCTGTGATGCTCTCAGTAAACCCATGGGCTTCTAGAATAGAAAAGAAACTGCTCCTAGCCTGGTCTTTTGTAAGACTGGTGCGTGTCCTCCCGGGAATCCAGCGCCTGACAACTTCGCCGGGTGCAGCGAAGAGGCGGGGCTGGGAGGCGGGGCGCGGCTGGGAGCGAGGCGGGGCAGGGAGGCGCTGCGGGGACCGGCGACTGCTTAGACCGCAGAAGAGCAGGAGGACGTCTGAGACATGCTCGCAGCGCTAGGCTCTCTGGCGGCTGCCCTCTGGGCAGTGGTCCATCCTCGAACTCTCCTGCTGGGCACTGTCGCCTTTCTGCTCGTTGCTGACTTTCTCAAAAGACGGCGCCCAAAGAACTACCCGCCGGGGCCCTGGCCCCTGCCCTTCGTTGGCAACTTCTTCCATGTGAACTTCGAGCAGTCGCACCTGGAGATTCAGCAGGTAGGAGCGGGAGAAGGTACCTGGCGTGTCCTCACCGTAACCCTGTTCTGCAGCACAGGGACATTCCCGGACGTTCCGGGAGCGGGAGTGGTGTGGCTAACGCTAGTAACCTGGTAAAACCCACTTTGGGTTTCGTTTCCTAACCCATTAACAGGCATGATTCCACCTACACTTTCTAGGGATGGAATATTATTAAATGTTTACTAGTTTGCATGTCGTCATGTTAAACATTATTGGAACACCTTATTTGTAATGTGATTACCTTGTCCTCTTTTATATGATTGTCCTCAAAAACGCTATACTTTCTTTCTGAGAAACTTCATTTCCCATACATAAAGTGGTGATAATACTACCTCAATCTTCATCTCTTCTCAACTGAGTTATTCCCACGACACTAATTGATCCCTCCACCTTCAGTCTCCTTCCCTTGCAGTGCACACTCAGTAAGTAATAATTTTAAAATGTTCCTCCTCTGCTTAAATTTTTGCCAAACGGTATTCAGACTCCTGACTGAACCACCTGGGACCCTTCTTGATGCAGCCTCTTTCTGCCTCTATGCAATAATCTCCCATCAGGGCTCCCCAACTCTGGTGACCGAATTCTTTCAAGTTCTCTCAGCCATCAAACTCTATCTCAAGAAACCAGTGCCGGTGTTCCTGCCACTCAGCGCAGGTATCTTGCTGAGAGAGAACAGCAAGACAAGTGATTATGAAGATTAAAATAGTGAGTGGTCAATATTGACATGGCTTATAGTTGGTACATAACAAATATTAGTTCTCCTTTCCCTACACATACCTGCAGTGCTTTAAACACATGGCTGTATATTGTACTCAAATATTGATAGACCAAGTTTTATCACTTTATGGGAGAAATACCCCATTGGTAATACTGACTGACAGAATTAGTCACAGAATGTTAAAGCTAAGCCCCCAAACCTGTGCCCTCATTTAGTAAATATGTTGTTTAATTTCCAAGTATGTGGAGATTTTCTTGTTATCATTCTGTTAATTATTTCCAGTTTGATTCCATTGTGGTCAAACATCATACTTTGTACAATTTCAGTTCTTTTAAATATGTTAAGGTTGATTAAATGACACAAGATATAGTCTATCTTGATAAATGTGCCATGCAGGCTGGAAAAAATATGTATTGTTGGGTGGAATAATTGATATAAATTATTATTGGGTGAAGTAATTGATATCAATATCAATTTGATTTTACTGAGTAATGATATTGTTTGGTTCACCTCTGTCCTTATTGACTTCTTGTCTACTTACTCTATCAATTACTGAAAGAGGAATGTTGAAGTTTCCAAGGACAATTGAGAGTATCTATTTCTCCCCAGTTCTAGTAGTTTTTCCTTTATGTATTTAGAAACTGTTGTTTTGCACATACACGTTTAAGATTATCATGTCTTCTTAGTGAATTGATCCCTTTATCCTGTAATGTCCCTCTTAATTCTTCAAAATTTATTTGCCTAAACTTTACTTTGTCTGATTAATATAGCCACAACAACTTTGTTTCTGATTAGTATGTGCTCGGTATATGCATTTCTATTCTTTAACTTTTAACCTTCTTGTATCATTATACTTGAAATTAGTTTCTTGAAAACAGCATATACTTGGGTCTTTTTTTCATTCTGGCAATCTCTGTCTTTTAATTGCTGAATGTAGACTCTTTATATTTAATGTAATTATTGACATACTAAGATTTGTCTAGCATTTTATTATTTATTTTGTTTTTCCTGTTTTTTATGCCTCTATTTTCCTTTTTCCATCTTCCTGTGAATCACTTGAACATATTAAAAATAATTTTATTCTTATTTATCTGAGGTGATTTTAGCAGCTCTTTTTGTATTGTGTTTTACAAGTGATTGCTCTAAGGATTACAATATGCAGATGTAGCTGATTGCAGTCTATTAGTATAAAAATTTTACCACCTCAAATGAAATATAGATATCTTGCAACCATTTAGGTTCCTTTACCCTCTCTACTTCATAATTGTCATAAGTGTTATCTCTATATACGTTGAGAACTACATCAAATAATATTATAATTTTACTTTTAAATGTTAAATTCAATTTTGAAAACTCGAGAGAATAATAGTCTATTGCATTTACCCATTTATTTACCCTTTCCATTTATCTTTTTTCATTTCTGATGTTACAAGCTTATCATATCCTTTCAGATCTGAAGAACTATCTTTAGTCATTCTTATAGTGCAGGTGTACTGGCAAGAAATTCTCTTAGCTTTCCTTCATCTAAGAATGTTTTCATTTCACCTTCATTTCTGAAGTACATTTGCACTGGACATAGAATTCTAGGTTGACAATTCCTTTCATTCAACATTTTAAAATGTTGTGCTACTTCTTTTTGGCCTCTGTGGTTTCTGTTAAGAAATCTACTGTCATCTGAATTGTTATCCCCCATATGTAATGAACCTTTTCTCACTGCCTTCCTTCAAGAAATTTTCTTTGTTTATGTTTTTGTTTAATTTTTAGAGGTTTAATTGTGATAGATCTTGGTGCCACTTTCTTTGGGTTTATCCTGTTTGGGTTTCTGAAACTATAGATTTGTATTTTGCCAGTTTGGAGGAGTTTCAGCCACTCTTTCTTCAACTATTCTTCAACTACATATTCTTTTTCCTCTCTTTCTTGGACTCTTGGATACTGATGGCACAAATGTTAGATCTCTTGTTGTGTCACAAGTTCCTGAAACTCAGTTTTTGTTGTTTCCAATGTAGTTTCTCTGTGTTGTTTAGTTTGAATATGTTCTGATCTGTCTTCAATTTCACAGATTCTTCTATTACTGCCATTCTGCTATTGAGCTATTTTATTGAATTCTTAAATTTATTCTATTGTATTTTTCAGTTCTAACATTTTCACTTGGTTCTTCTTTATCTTTTATTTCTTTGTTAAAATTTCCTAATTTTTTGTTTGTTTTGAGACTATTCATAGTTATTGGAAAAGCTTTACAACAGCTGCTTTTAAATATTTAATTATTCTGTATTTCCAACATCTGTATCATCTCACTGTTGGTGTCAATTCACTCAAATTGATGTTCTCTTGATTCTTGATAAGGTGAGTAATTATGGACTATATCCTGGACATTTTATATATTTGTTGTAAGACTTACCCTGGATACTATACAGATCTTTTATTTTAGCATATAGCCTATTTAGATTCTGAATGCTCACTTTTGTGGGCAGCAGTTCAAATACCAATGCAGGTTATAAAGCTTCTGCAGTGCTATTCTGGTCTACTCCACTTTGTATTACCCACTCCCACAGAAGCCCATCTCACATTCTCATCAGTACAAGCTTGGGAAATGGAATATGGAACAGAAGACAGGAAACCCTCTGGTATACTAGCTTACTCTTTACTACAGAGAGAAGACAGTCAGAGATCTGTCCATATCTGCTCCAAGGGGAAGTGCACCTCCTTATTACTATAGAAGAAGACTGGAAGTCCTAATTTGCCCTCTGACTCTTGCAGGGAGTTTCTTTACTTCAGCTTAGGAATAGAACTCACAATTCAGCTCACAGCCTCAGCAGAGAAGGGTACTACCTCGTTGTTGCAAAGTAGGGTGAAAGACAAGGTACTGTCCATGTACTCCAGGGCTGTAGGACCTTTTAGAATTGGGAAGGGTCAAATGTTTTTCATGGTATTTGCCTCCACAACAAAGAAGTAAAAAAGCTAAATGGTTTCTGTCCTGTTGGGCTTTCCTTTTCCTAGTCCTTTGGCTAGAGAGAGTAGACTTTTCTTGAAGATATTTTTGTCTGTGTTAGTTGGTGTCATGATTAATAGAAGTAAAATGGAAAGCTTTCATTCAATCTTGTCTGGAATAAGAAGCTTGATCTGCACTTTTGTTGTATTGCTAAGATAGGTGTTTCTAGAGAGGTTAAATGACTTGCCTAATGTCACAAAACTAGCCAGTGATAAAACTGAGACTAGGATCTCATCCTTGGCCCTGTGATTTTTTTTTTTATCACACTGTCACTGTTTATTTTTATTTTATATAGGTTTGCATTTTTGTATTTCTGGGTGTAAGACAATTGGAGTTAAATTGTGTAATTTAGTTATAATTAAATTTACATTCTTGCAATTGGAAAACATTAAGTACTAACTAATAGATCTTACATAAGGATTTTTATGTTAATTTTCATTTCATCTTCATGATAGGCACACAAGTTAGGTATGATCTGGTGTTGCTTCCATTTTACCATGGAGCAAACTGACTGAGAACAAACAGTGAACTTCCCAGGTTATTCAGCTAAATAATAACGAATAAGGATTTGAACCTGAGACTATTTGATTTGTATACCTATTGTGGGATCTGGCCAGCGGCCCGCAATGTGATGAGACTCTTTCCTTGTTCCCAGGCGGATTGGCAGGTCGAGAAATAGAAGATACTCACAAGATAGTGAAAGCTGGGTCCAGGGGGGCCACTGCCTTCTGGTCCTGTGATGCTGCCAATGCACCAGATATACCAGCATTTACTATTAAGTTTAGTGAGGGTGGGGGTAGGTTAGTGAGGGATTTGGGGTCGTTTGATTATGAGGTGAGATGGTCACATGGGGATGAAGTAATTCTTTAACATAACATCGGTATGCAGAAGTATAGTATACAGAGATAAGAATTTACAATATAGTGTGTGCGTCAGCAATTTCTAACAGAGCCTTAAAACAGAAACACAGTCCATCCATACCTATGATTAGCAAGATATTAATCAGCAGTAATAGCTGCAGCAAAAGCTGGTTACAAACAATCAATAGAAACAGGATGTGAAGCTAGACAACCAGTTAGACCAAAAATTCCCAGAATGGAGTATGCCTTAACCCTAAAGAGACCTAGAAGAACCGTGGCAAGATAAGGGCATTTATAGCCCTATCTTATGCATATGAACAGGTGCCCCTCATGCGTCCATTCATAGGCTCTCCACAAGGGTTGCATTCCATTCCCAGAGCTTTGAACATCTGCTTTTCTGGGATAGGAATCTTGG